AGAAACCAACATCACATGGAACACATATTTGACACTTCAGAAATATTAGTAAACACCTGTAACACTCGTGACGCCGTGGCTGTTGCCTTGTCGTAGTCTTTTTTTGCAAATGCACTAGCAAGTATTGCCTGAAAGTGGGAAGGGATTATAACCTATTCAGTCCATAGAAAAGAAACGGAAACACTGAAATAAATGGCATACACATACACAAAATAGGGGCTGTTAAAATAAGTTGTTTTATTGATTTAAAAACCATTCACTGCAGCAAGATTTGAGCTTAGGAAAGTTCAATTCAGTTTCACAAAAAATTTAAGAAGAATTTAATTGCTGATCAAACAATGTGCTTCTGTGATTTTCATCTTCTTGGCCTCTGTCTTAAAGTACGGGGAAGAAATTATCTCAAAACTAATTTGGTGTATCATTGCAGTAGTTTCATTTATTAAAGTAATGTTTTCCAACCTGTCCAGCAACAGCCAGTCCATCAGCTAGAAGGGAAGTTGCCAACCAGACCTGCAAGCAGACCTGAAATGCTGCCATGGGTGTCGGTCCCTGCCGTGCAGCCAATGATGCAGCCAGAGTTACACAGAATGTAACAGCAATGACCCTCATTAATAAAAGAAAACCTGGAGTGAAGAAAGGACTAATGGGGGTATCAACTAATTCACGCTACTCTCTCTCAACATGTACTGAAATTTATTCAGATATAAATATAAATTAGAAAGAACTTGCTATTTCAATCATGTTAGTAAATACTTCAGTGGATGTTATTCAAATTTCCTATGCTATATTCTCAGCATTTTAAAGTTATGCTTCCGACGTTTTCTGCTCACTAAAACCAAGGCCTAAGGAGTATAGCTCCTCAGAACAAAAGCAAAGTTATAGATTGTATAAAACATGCATGAAAGTGTCACCACTGCCTATTAAAGAATTAAATCCTCACCATTTTTAAGAAACCGACCAAATTGGAGATGTTTGATACTTGGGGGTAATAGATCAACTTGAGCCATTAATCTCCACAAGAGTATTACACATATTAAGTACCTATAATGAACATATCAATGATAAGAGGCATGCTGGTACACAGAGTGCAGAATTCCAGAAAAACCCACAAGAGGACCAAAAACATATGGAGATGAGTTCGATAAAACTGAGATATAACATGAGAAATAGCTGCACCATTGACACCCAGACAGAAAACAAACATAAATATTGGATCTAAAATTACATTTGTAACATCTCCTGCCACTAGATTAAAACAGACAATTGATTAGAACACGATCAAGACTATATTTATTTGAAAAAGATGGCATCGAATCTAAAGTGCAGCTTCATTAAGGTATACCGGTTGCGTATAAAGGAGTTTTTGTATCCTTGAACCCACGGAAGACCCTTGCATAGCCAGTGAAAGAAGAACTGCAGGAGCACCAAGCGACCTCAGGATCAAGTACTGCTGTGCAGGTTTTAGCATAGGGGAATCCTAAACAAACAATAGTTCCTTCTGTTCTTAGAAGTTATAGTAGTATTTCAGCGCTTGGTACAACAAAATCTTAAGTAAAATGTATGTCAAAATGAAAAATAAAATAAAATAAAAGCATAAAGATGATTAACTTACAGAACTGACCCCCATAAAGTTCAATAGAGGTTTTGCTGCTGGTATGAGGAATATGGCTTGGATGAGGCCAAGGATGCTGCCAATAACCATTGCTGATGACGCTGACGGGATGTACCTCTTCTTCAGCCATCAGTTAGATAGCTGATTTAATGAATCGGGTTTTCACTGGGACGGTTACTGAACTAGTTGTTTATAGACAAGAATCCACAAATTGTGCTGCAGCCCCTGCAGATTATATGTAGAGTTAACTCATAATTCTGTTGCTCGCAGAACCTAAGCATTCAACTCGAAAATCAAGATAACCATTTTCCAGAAGTGCCCATAAACGATGAAATGCAGAAGCAATTCAAACAATATCGAGTATCCTTGCAGAGAATTAATAAAACAGTATCACCCCTATAACTACAGATTCATTGTATTTCAGACCAACCTGAAATTCAAAAGTTACACTTGTTACATGCATTCTGATTCCTTATCCACACATGATCTTGATTTTCCACATATTATTAGCTAGTGTTTCGTGGAACATGCTTGTTATTATGGTAATACCTTCTCAAATACTGCTCGAACCCGCTTAAGAATGTCAGGTATACCCCGTTCAGCTTCAGTTGTGGCGGATCCACCATGGGGTCAATGGGGTCGTCGACCCATGGAGAAGAAGATGCAAACTGCTAGGGAGAAGAAATAGGGAGGAAGAAGAAAGAGAGAGAGAGAGAGAGAGGGAGGAAGAAGAAGATTAGGGTTTTTTAAATATTATTTTGATTCTGTTGGAGTAGATCTATAAATACTAGAAGTATAATAGCATAAAAATATCATTTACTGTAGTGGTCTTTAAATTGAAATGGACCTTAAGGTCGATGATTCAACACTCATTGTGTTCCTTATCTTCTTTTTTTTTAATATTCATGGTATTTTATTATTTGGGTTATTTTTGAGTGAGTTTATTTATTATTTAGGTGGTGTTATTATTTTGATGAAATTTATGGCTTACATAATACATATATGAGCTTGATTTATTTATGGGAGTTTCACTAAAACACCCAAAATGGAGGTTGAAATTATAAAAAAACCTAACACCCAAAACACTTTATAAACACACCCAAAACCCATCATTACACACACTCAAAACCCATTTATAAACACACCCAAAAAGTTGACTTTGGGATTGATTTTGGGTGTGTTTCTATGTTTAAATAGTGCTTGGGTTTTTTTATAAATACATGTCTAGGATTGGGTTTATTTATAAATTTGTATTTATTTAATGATGTTTTTGTTATGACCCCATAGAGTAACAATAATGGATCCGCCATTTGCCAGTGGGCATAATGGGAAGGCTAGGCATGCCATTGCAAGGTTCAACTTTTATGCTTATAACTCATGTTGGAAAAAATGGGACAAAAATTCATTACTTTTTTGTACCAAAAAGGAGGGAGACGGACCATGGGACTTTAAAACGATTGTTTGATTGCATTATTGATATTTATATTTGTTTATTGGTTGTCCTTGGCTTGGGCAGATATATAGCAGGAGGGAATCAACTTTGTGTAAGATTTTACACGTAAAAGGAATTGCAGGAAAAGTAGAGAAAAATAGGACGACTTGTCCTTTCTCATCTTTGTATAAAGAGTTCAAAATACAATTCCATGACTCTGACCGATGAGAGAGATACTTTATTTTACTTTATAGCAGAAGAAGCAGATCCATGAAGAAGAAGCATTCCATTTCAGTAGGGTTGGGTTGGTTTGTAAATTACTCATATGCCTCTTTGTTATTACTATCATGGATTAATGGATAACAAGTTATAATTTCCAATTAGCGGTCTAATTAGTCTATTAGTCTCCAATTTAATGCATACTAGACCGCACGTGACTGCTGATATGATATGTTCAAAATCCGTAACTTTTTATCGTCAATTAAATAGTGAACTTAAGTCTACGAATGTATTCTAGAAGAATTTGATGCAACTTTCTCCTAGGGAGAATTACACTAATTAAAGATCAATTGAAGATTAGTATATAAAAAGCCAAGGAAAAACAAAACCCATCTAAACAATTGAAGATCATCCAATAGAGTTGGCAAATCTAGGTATAAATAGTTAATATTTAGTGACAGATAAAAGGGCTTTTGTGCTTCAAAAATTTCACTGCTTTTTCTTCTATTTTGTGAGCACACCAAAACATAAATATATCAGTAAATTTCACATTTAGAAGACTATTTCCATGTCCATACAACATCAAATCTATTAAGAGTGCTTATAAGTTGTTCTTTGCTGGCCCTTCCTGGCCTGAGTCTAGCTGGGCTTTTCTTTGGAAGCTGAAAATTCCTCCCAAGTTGCAAATCTTCTTTTGGCTTGCGTCCCAAAATAAAATTTTCTCTAATGAGTATAGAGTGAGGCGGCAGCGGGCTATTGATTCTTCATGTGGGTTATGTGATTGGCTCGTGGAATCTGTGTTGCATATTTTCTGTGATTGTGAAAGGGCACGAAGTGTTTGACATGCTCTTTCTATTCTTGGACTAGTTCCTCCTTTTTTTTAAGCAAGATTTCATACATTGGCTTAAAGTTAATCTGCTTTCTAAAGCTAATTGGGGTGGTGGTTTGCCTTGGTCAGCTGTGTTTGTTTTCACTTGTTGGTACCTATGGAAATGGAGGAATAATAATATTTTTCTTCCTTGTGATGAGTTTGGTGCTGATCCTGTTAAGGCTATTTCTATGGCTGTGAGGGATTGGTTCAAGGCTTCTCAGGTGGGTGTTTAGGTGAGTCCTAAAGCTCAGCTTTTACCCAAATGGGAGCCTCCTAGTTTAGGTATGTTTAAATTGAATGCGGATGGTTCTAGGATAGCAACCTCAAGTTGTATTGGTGTTGGCGGAGTGATCCGTGGGGCTGATGGCAATTGGATTTGTGGTTTTGCTGTGAATTTAGGCAAGGGGCAGATCCTTGAGGTTGAGCTTTGGGGTTTGTATTTTGGGCTCCAGTTAGCCTGGGATAAAAGTATCTCTAATCTTCTTATTGAGAGGGATGCTGCAGTTGTTGTTTCCCTTGTTCAGCAAATTGGTACCTTGAGTTGTCACCCTCCTGCTACATTAGTTCAGAGTTGTTGTGTTCTTATGAAGCGTATTGGCAACTGTCACCTTGCTAATGTTTACAAAGAAATGAATTTTGTAGCTAATTGTATGACTAACTGGAGCTTTAACTTGGATTTAGGGGTTTTGTTATTTTGGATGAGGCTCCTGTTTGGGTTAGCTCTTTCTTGGTAGATGATTTATTAGGCGCCATTAGGCCTCGTTTGATCTATATTAGTTAGTTGTCGTTTCTCTTTGGGGTCTTAAAAATCCTACAAGTTTAATGGCTGAAATTAAAAATTCCAAGAGCGCATTTAAGCAATTATAGACTTCAGACAATCCTTTTAGTGGAAAAGCCTTAATTCACATCTTTACAACCACCTATTGAATTTGAGGTTGACAATAAGTTTCACCAACTTCCCTCTATAACTAATTTTTCCTTTTTCCTGCAATTACCTCAAGAAAAAGAAAAATCCTAATCCTAGCTATTGAAAAAGACGCTAAGACCCTCACTCTGATCCTCTCCACATTACAAGTTTTCTTAAGAAAAAGGAAAAAGAATGGGGAAACAGAAGAGAATTCATAAGCCCGCCAACAAAGAAAGGAATTTTTAACTTTTTAAACATAATTTAATTTCAAATAAATATTGGTTCAAAAAAGTAAAAAAGTAAAAAAGAACAAAAGAATGTTGGTTCATCTACCCTCAGTGGCTAACTGTAAAGACCCTTCCCTCATCAACTTCAAGCTTATGCTGTTAAATCTTTCCCGTGAATATTGCCTGGATGCTTTTCTCCAATCTGTACCAGCCTTCATCATAGCAGCAAACTCCTCGTAACTTATGCGCCCATCCTACAAGATGATACAAGCAAGTTGCAGTTCAAGTTATCAATGATACATGCACAACACCAAATTTAAAAACATAACAAAACGAAATGGATACATACAAGCATAACTCGATAAAAACAATGATGCATGCAACATAACAAGAGTAATTAAAACATAATCTTACAAACTGAAGACATTTTGCACAAGTCAACCCTTTTCATCAGGGTGATATTCAATCATTGATCAAAGAAAAACAAACAACAAAGCGGAATAAAAAAGTGACAGAAGAAGAGGTGATCCTGCAGTTTGCATGACTGGCCTCATTTGTGCGTAATCGAAGGGAAAAAATATACAATGATTCCAGAGAAGGAAGAGAATATGGAGTAACCGAACCAGTCTGTACTCAGGATAAGTATTTTTCACAATACGACAATTTTTAGCATCAATAGGCAAAAAGATAAAGGAAAGTTAGCTAAGATGATCTAGCCTCAGTTCAAAAACCAATACATGGCAAGGTATTATAAGGGGAAATCTCGAAAGGAAGTCAAATGTCCAGAAAGACCGTGAAAGTCTGAAATATGATATCATGATTCATAATTAGCATCAAAATAGAGCCTTCTAGAATCTTTTTGGATTAAGGATAAAACTTTTTGAAGTTAATTGTCTCAAAACTGTGATTCTAACCTTGTCTGTGTCCACATCATGCATAATCGCATGGATGACTTCCTCACCACCTGCATCAACATCATCATTTAAAGCATTTCGCAATTCTTCAATTTCTATGAAACCACTTTGGTTTTGATCGAAGAATGCGAAAGCTTTATGTAGGTGATCATCATTGGCCATCCTTTTAAGGTGAACTGTAACCGCAACAAACTCTCCGTAGTTCAGAGCTCCATCGCCATCAACATCAGCCTGTAGGAATCAGAAATCAATCAGTTGATCAGTTCAAGAAATCCTAAAACTCATTGGGATACTCAACCCCCAGCCAGAACTTCTTTACATTCCTATTTTTAGCTGAATCCTTGCAATGAATATTGCAGCTCAGGTTTTAGTTTGCTTCTCAAGATTTAACATGATGCAGAGTTAGGCATATTATCATCCAACCCACGGTTAAAAGTAAGGACAAGTTGGCCAAGCACAAATTGATGCTTACAGCTTCCATTAGTATTTGAAGATCTGGATCAGGAATCTGCTGCCCAAGCTGTTGTATACCACTTCGAAGCTCTTCTATGGTTACTTTGCCCTTGTTGCCAGTGTCCATCATTTGAAATGCCTCTTTTATGCCAGCTACTTCCTCAACTGACAAATGCTCGGCTATAACCTATGTATAAAATATTCAAAAGTTCAGACATAGCATATAGGGCAACTTTCACACAAGATACAAGGAGCCAACATTTCTGTAACTATGGGACATCAATAACTTCATAATGAAAAGTAAACTAAAAAACATTACCCCAAGGGCTCTTTTCTTCAGCTTGTTCATTATGGAAAATTGTTTCAGCCTTGCTCTCACAGTCTCACCAAGTGGGACATTTGGGGCCTTCTTGGCATTTTGTATCCAAGGATGATCTGCACAGAAAGAGTTGGTAAAAACTTGTCATATAAGGCAATAAATCTTTCAATTGTATAAGATATCATATTACTGTAATTACCAAGCACTTCCTGGGCAGTCAGCCGCTTTTTTGGATCAGGATCAAGCATTTTCTTCACCAGGTCCTTCGCATTATCAGAAACTCTTGGCCAAGGATCCCTCTTGAAATCAATGACAGATCGAATAATTGCTTGTGCTACCCCTTGTTCAGTTTCTACAGGGAAAAAGTTTTGAAACTATGAGAAGCAAATACTAATAATATAAGCGCAAGTACGCCAGCAGGCACAATTTTGTTCAGGATGATCTCAATCAGAGATATTTGATAAGCAAAACATTCCAATGGGAGTATTATTTTCTACATCCCTTTTCCACTTTAACTCCTATACAAATTGTAAAGAATCAAAATATAAATACTGGTAAAAGAGACAAACCTGCCCAGAAAGGTGGAACACCACAAAGTAAAATATACAGGATAACTCCAGCACTCCAGATGTCAACCTCGGGTCCATAATTGCGCTTCAGAACCTCTGGAGCCATGTAATATGGACTTCCAACTATCTCATTAAATTGCTCATCTGCAGAATATAGAAACCTTTAGCTGCACTATCATACGCCAGATGTAGAGATGATATAAGGATGCTAAAATATGAAGTTCAAGAATGGGGGAAAATTATTAAACAGGAAAAATGAAGCAGTGCAATACCAGGTTTAAAGAACACAGATAATCCAAAATCAATTGCTTTCAAAGGGGCTGTTTCCTTCTTATTTGCAAATAGAAAGTTCTCTGGTTTGAGATCACGATGCATTACTCCATGTTTATGACACATCTGCAATGTAAAATGCAAGTAAATAAACCAGAGTATTTCATAATGACATCACAGAAGACCGGACATCATCATCCAGCAACAGAACATGAATGAAGATCAAATAAGTGTCAGCAGCAGATAATTAATTTAACATGCACAGAAACTAGTTATGTGATAGTAGAGACAAGTATATTCAGTGCACAGGAACTAGTTATATTCTAGTAATAACACGGTCCAGCATATTATATCATCCAAATGTCCAAATAACTGGCATATCACCTAAACGAAATATAAGCCAATAAAAACAAAATGTAGAAACCAAAATCGTTGGCATAGTAAACTTACTTTCAACATCAACAACGAGAAACTCAAACCAATTAACAAAATACATAGCAGCACTGCTAAGTGCTTATAGAGAATAAGAGGATGGAGGAAAACATTCAACTCACCAATTGTTTCTCAATTTACCATTTAAAGTTCATAGTGTAAATGATAAGAAGAAGAAGCATCACAAACTTATAACACAAACAAAACCAACATGTTATATAGCACCAACGTACTCTATCTCACATTTCCCCCAAACAAGAACATCACAATATAACACAAGCCATATGACACTTTTATAACAATTCTAATGTAGAACATAATTATAAAATTTCTGAACCATATCCAAATTTAAACCAAATTAACACAACACTAGTAAAGCCAAATCTAACCTGAACAACTTCAACAATGGTCCTCATTACGCTTGCGGCAGCACGTTCGGTGTAATGACCCCTAGCAACAATGCGGTCGAATAATTCGCCACCCTCACACAACTCCATGACAATGTGAACCGCTTCTTCATCCTCATAGGTGTCCTTCAATGTGACAATATTTGGGTGCGGAGGCAAATGCCTCATTATCTCAACTTCTCTCCGCACGTCTTCAATATCCACAGCGGTCCTCAGCTTCTTCTTCGATATCGATTTGCAGGCGAATTTTTCACCCGAGGAAGCTTCTGTGCAAAGATATGTGATTCCGAATTCACCTCGGCCGAGCTCGCGACCCAGATCGTATTGGACCGAAATGTCTCGACCTGTCGGTTCTTTCAAGACCCATAGCTTGCCCTCACCATCTTTTCCATTAATGCCACCAAAATCTGTAGCGAAGGGATTGGGTTTCTTCTTGTTTTTCTTCTGCTTGTTCTGGCCAGGTGTGCCAAGAGTTACGCAGCAATTTCCCATGAATCAGAGCCTCAAATATTTCAGAATTTCCAGTATTTTCTTCAGATTTCAAGAGGACCCAATTGAGCAGAAAGGTCAATAAATCGAAATCCTGTTCAGGAAATTAGAAAGAAATCAGACAATCATAATGACAAATCCAAAATGCGAGTCCCATAACATTTTCAGCTCCAAGCTTTTGTTTTGTCAGAAAGCAAATTTAGAAAGTGAGATTTTTTGTTTCTTCTAAATCTTAAATGCAGATTCTTTATAGAAACAAACCACAAATCAGTGAATCTTAAGAAATCGAAAAGAAGAAAAAAAAAACAGTTTACATAAAAGAAGACAAAAATGGAAGAGGTCCAAATTTCTATTCTTTTCAAAGGAAATGAAGGTAACATCAAAATGTTGGAGAACAACAAAGCTCACCTCTGTTTTTTTTTTGTTTTTTTTTTATAACGATTTTTGGGAATTCCAGGGAATTGAGAAGAGATTTTGCAGGATACCCAGATGAGATTTGGAGATGAAAGAGCCTAACCTAATTCTAGAAATTAATAATTTGGGGTTGAAGGTCAAGGATGTGAAAGGACAAATTGAAGGTGTGAATACGCCATGGATTTGCAGAGAGAGAGAGTCAAAGCTCTTTCACAGAGACTTCTGTTTCTCTCTCTAAATCCGTTCCTTCTCTTCTTTTTCTCTGTCTCTCTTCAAATCCAAACCTTTTTCTTTTGTTTGGGAGTCAACCATCAAAAGAAAAGATTTCCCTTTTTCTTTTTTTCTTTTTCCCCTTTTTTTTTCCTCTCTTCCCAAAATATCCAGCTAACCTTACAAAGTTACAAGTCACAGATTCCCACAAATTTCATCAAACATATATATATTACTTCAAAACTGTTTTTTTTTCCCTGGAAAAAGTGTTTTTTTATTTATTTATAAACTAATTCATTGCTAACTAATTGTAATTAGTGTAAACTAATTCATTGCTAACTAAATGATTGTTAGTTTATTTTTAGTTTTGACAGTTGGGTTGCACCCAAGAGTTCAACCGAAGTTGGTTGTGGTTTCTAAAAACAAGAAAACCACCCTCTCCAAATATTTAGTAAAGCATGGTTGTATTGTGGACGGGGGGGAGATATGGATCATGTCTTAATCCAATCCTTCCCAAACCTACTCAACTTACTGTAAAGATGCCACGTGTCCAATAATAAATAATCCTAGGGCTACCAGTAATTAATTTTTGTAGAGTCCACTCTCCCCCTATTATTGGTGTATAGTTTGTAAATCCATTTGTCTTTTTTTTAGGTGAAAAAAATTATATGGTATTTGTTTATTAATTGCAATTGACAGGAGGGAATATATTCTTTGTAAAGATTTTTCTAGTCGTTGCTCAGAGTGGTTGGGTTGGATTTTGGTGACGGCAATTTGGGTGGTAGGTTTGGTAGGACCGGTATCTAGAAAGAAAATACTTCCCTCCTTGCTATGCAAGTAGGAGTTTTTATATTCCAGCAAATAGCAATGTGATATATGTGCAAAAAAATTTCTTTTCATGGTTTTGATGAATTATTTTTGCATACATGTCAAACTATGATTCGCAATAAGGATGAGTATTTCCTTATAAGAAAGGTAAACAATATCTTATGAGGAATCAAATGTTTTAAAATCTCAAAGTTTTTCTTTCTTTTGTAGATGAAACAATGTGAAATGTGTCATATTTCTTGGAGGTTTGTGAATTTCAGGATTCCTGTCCTGCAGCTCACCCGATTTGACAAAAAAATGGATAGTAGGTAGAGGTAAAAGGTTTAAGATATTTTGTATACCCAAAGTGAAATGTCATTGGCTTCACTTGAGTGGTGTGGGCGTTTCCCACTTCACTTCCTAACTTTGACAAAAGAAAAACTATATAAGGCATATTCTAGATTTTTTCAGTTGTGAGTGTGAGTGATGCGCTCTTTTAGTCAGATGGATAACAACGGGCGTATGAGAGATGGATAAAGACCATGAGGTTGTCTGGGGCCATGTTGACAAATGTCCATGATCCGCTCAATTATTATATTAGAAATAGTTTTTTTATTACAAATAGTCCTGGGGTTTGTTAAATTATCACATTTGGTCTTTTATGTTTTTTTTTCTAACATTATTATTGTCACGGCCCGGACCCGAGGGTCGGTGAAAACTCTGCGCCCGGTGCGTGAGAAAATAAAAAGTAAAATAAAATAAAAATAAACCGAAATATGCCTCTTATAAAAATATATCCAAAATCTTACAACTTTACAATAAATAAATAAAGTTCTATCACTCTCATCTAATTCAGCCTCAATCGGTTTAGTCATTATCTTGCCTACTAATTTATCTGAAAAATTAAATAGGATGAGGGATGAGCAACCACCACACAGTGAGTAGATTATGTAATATGTCAATCAAGTAATGTCATTTTGCACACTCTATAAAATATCACGAAAAGATACACCAGTCCAGATCATATCACATCGTCCCTTCATATTTTGGTTATCCTTCATTGCATGTAACCAACCACGTGACCTTTACTGGCCTCACTGCCTTATGTCCCCATGTGGTACATATATCCATCGAATACCCCAACATTGAAGTTCTTATGTTCCATGAATAATACATACTTCACAAATATTCTGATCAATATATATATATATAGTGTGTGTGTGTGTGTGTGTGAAAGATTGCACCAAATTAGACATGCTGGACTTGAAATAGAGAGATATTTGTAAATAGAACAAATTCACAATATTTAATGGTTTTCATATTTTATCACAAAATAAGAACTTTTAGAACACATTACATGAACCACTCACCTCGATAACGAGAGCCCTTAAAATAAATTTGCAAGACAACCCATCTACCTATCTTTATGTACTATCACCCAAACCAAACTCCAAGCGTTTCATCACCACTCTCTCTCCTTCTTTTTAATTTCTTAAGTTTTGAAACTATAAGGTTATGCTCCTATTTATAGTGTTTATAGGGATATGATAAACTTCAATATTAAAAGGATAAGAACATCCAAGTTTATCCAAAAGATAAATATCCTAACAAGATAAGATCATCCAAGTTTATTCAAAAGATAAATATCTTAAAAAGATAATATCGTCTAAGTTTATCCAACAAATAAATATCTTCTTTTATCCGTTTAAAATACGGGTTTTCACACTTATGTTACATCTCACATATCAATTTGGTCCCGTCGTTAGGTTCCATCAAAATTTTCCGTTAGATTGCTGACGTGGATGCCACGTGGATTAAACAATGTTTTAAACATTTTGAATTTGATCACAAATGGTTCCTGAGGTTTGTGAAATTATCACATTTATTCTCTCTTTTTTTCTGACATTATTGGTCATTTATATATTTTTTTAAAATAGTTAACATTTAAAATCTTTTAGATAAAATTTAATTAAAAAAAAGATAAAATTTTCAAAACATAATTTATTTTTTATTCAAATCCATTTGGCATTTTATTATTGGACATGTAGACTCCATATGCATGTCACGTCAAATCCGTTATGTTCTATTGGAATTTTGTTAAATTGATGAAAATTTCAACATAATTTAACGAATTTGACGTGACATGTATGTAGAGTCTACATGCCCAATAATAACATGCCAAGTGGATTTGAATAAAAAATAATTTTATGTTTTGAAATTTTTATGTCTATTTTTTATAATAAAAAATTTAAAAAAATTTAAATGTTAAAGTTTTTTTTTTTATAAACATTTCTTCATTTAGATCCACTTGACATTTTCTCATTGGCTATGTGTGCACATATGTATCATGTCAACAATTTAACGAAATCTCATGGTGGGATCAAATTAATGTGTGAGGTGTAACATAAGGTCCAGTAATGTCAGGAAAAAAAAATAAAGGACCAAAGGTGATAATTTCGCAAACCTCAGGGAACATTTGTGATAAAACCAAAATATTTAAAACATTGTTTAATCCACGTCAGCAATCTAGTGGAAAATTTTGACAGAACATGACAGCGGGAACAAATTGATGTGTGAGGTGTAGCATAAGGGACCAATAATGTTTGGTGATAATTTGGCAAACCACAGGGACCATTTGTGATTAAAAAAAAAAACCTATTAGAAATATAACTTAATGAAAGCATAAAACGGAGAAAGACTTTTATGAAACGGGGATAACACTATTTTGTTATTTCCGACCAATAAACATGTGTGATAACACTCCACATGGCATAGCAAAATAGTTCTATCTCCGTTGCAACTAAGGGCCTGTTTGGTATTCAATTTGAATCTAACTTTTTAAACTCAAACAGAATTTGAGTACAAAACAAAGAAAACCTGTTTGGTAGCCTATTTTTAAAAACTCAAACTCAAGAATAACTAAAAAAACACCCCAATTATTAAAAACAAAAAATATCTGTTTTTTCAATTTTTTTCTAACAACTCACAAGTTCTCAAATTTTTTAGATTTGAAAACAGTTTTCAAGTTACATACCAAACAAGTTTTTGAATCTTAAAAATAGATTTAAGAACTCCTTGTTTTTAAGAAAAATCAAAGTTCTTGAGTTCTCTATTTGAATAGGATATCAAACACCCCCTAAGAGCAACTCCAGCGCATGGGCCAGCCCGGGGGAAAGGCAGCCAGAGGCAACCCAAGGCAGCTCCAGCGCAGGGCCCCTAGCCGGGTTTGGCGGTGGGTCCCACGAGCCCGACGAAGCCCAAGGGCAATTCTTGCCCGGGCTGAAGCCCGAGTTGGATGACGTCATCGCTGGCGTCACGCTGACGCCAGCGCACAGTAAGTCAAATTTTTTTTACCGTCGGCGCGTGAATTACACACGCCAATGGTAAAAAAAATTTGAGTGACGCCAGCGCTGACGTCAACTACTGACAGCACCAACGGGCTTGTGCCACGTGGCACAACGAGGACTCTCGGATGGATTTTTTCCAGAAATCCGACGGTCCTCGTTTTTTTGGCTAAAAAAATCGAAAAAATTCTGAAATTTTTTTTAAAAAATACCCAAAAATTCTGTATTTTTTCTCTATAAATACCTAACCATTTTATTTACTTTCCACACTAAATCTTCATACAATTTCTTCTCCATCCAATATTTTTTACTCTTTACTCACATTTCTAAAACATTCCACACCAATTCTTCATACAAACTTTTCTCCTTCCAATATTTTTTTATCTCCACTCACATTTTTCACTTCCACACCAATTCTCCATACAAACTCTTCTCCTTCCAATATTTTTTACTCTCCACTCACATTTTTCTACTACTTTCCATTTGTATAAAAAAAA